TTAAAAAGTGCAAATTTGGATGACTCTTCAAATTTCATTTGTGTCACATAAATTGAGACAACAAAAATAACATATATTGGGTCCATTTTAATTTATTTGTCTTATTTTTTTAAATTTTTTATATTTAAAAATTGCGTAAAAATACTATAAATCATGATAATTCACAACATAAAATATTTAAAAAATATATACATATAAAAAATTTCGATTGATTCTTGAAATTAATCTATCGTTAAAAATTATGTATAAAATACAATAAATCGTGATAATTGACAACTTAAAATATTTATTAAAAATGCACAAAAAAATAAATTAACTGATTCTTAAAATTAATCTATCAATGTCACATAAAATGAGACAAAAGTAGTAATATGTATTATTTAATGTCAAATTACTGAAAGCTACGTAAAATGTATTGTAAGTCTTAACAATTAACAACATTTGATTAACTCTTGAAATTTTATCTATGCTACATACATTGAGACAAGTGGAGTAATATATATTAAGTATTTACAAATTACGTAAAAATATTATAAATTACATTATTAACAACTTAAAATATTTAAAAATCATATTAAATTTAAATAACTCACTATATTTTATCTGTGTCACATACATTAGGACAAAAATAATAGTTATTGGGCCCGTGCATAAGAGAGTTTATGCCCAAGTATAATATATAATATTCAATGACTCTCCAAATTTCATTTGTGTCACATAAATTGAGACAACAAAAATTACATATATTGGGTCCATTTTAATTTATTTGTCTTATTTTTTTTAAATTTTTTATATTTAAAAATTGCGTAAAAATACTATAAATCATGATAATTGACAACATAAAATATTTCAAAAATAAATACATTTAAAAAAATTCGATTGATTCTTGAAATTAATCTATCGTTAAAAATTATGTATAAAATACAATAAATCGTGATAATTGACAACTTAAAATATTTATTAAAAAAACAGAAAAAAAAATTGACTGATTCTTAAAATTAAATCGTGATAATTGACAACATAAAATTGTTCAAAAATGTTGTATGTGGGTAGTCTTATTGTGCCTTGAATAGCGTCAAAGAAAGTACAGGTTTGTGATAAAAAAAACTTATTCCTTTATCCACGCAAACAATCGCTTCAAAATTTTCATTATTAGCCCCAAAACATACCATTTATGTTATTGGGCCCGTGCATAGCACGGGCAACAAAATCTAGTATTAGTAGAAAGAAGACTTTATTAGATTAGAATAGAAAGTAAAAGAAAATAAAAAGGAGTCTTTTCTAAGTTTAAAAAATTAGTTGAAATAAGACCCTTTTTTTTGTTGACAAAAAAAAAAGGTGGAGATCACAGCTAAGCACACAATTTTCACACACACACACAGTGAGTCTAATTTGTCTGTTTTCTTGAACCCTTTTATTTATTCTGCATGGATGTATTTATTCTCTTTTTCTATCCCCCTTCTCTCTCTCTCTCTCCTTGTTCTGACACTGCTTATTCACTTCACTAATCTCTGAAGATTTCATCTTTTTTTGCTTTTTACCCTTTTTTTAACAGTTTCCATACCATTCCTTTCTTATTCTGTCAACTGGATCAACCATCATCATCAGCAGCATCTCTGAATTCTTCAAGATTTCACCAATTTTGAGTTTTTGACTTGTTTGCTTCTTCAGGTGCTTTCTTAACTTCAAGACCCACAACCCCTTTTGTCCCTTTTTTCTCAATTTTTGTTTGATTTTCCTTTTTGGGTGTTGGTTATAACATCCAATTTGTTATAAAGTTTTGAGCTTTTTTACTTGGGTTTTTGTGGGACTGTCTTTACTTCTAGACTCAGAACTCCTTTTGGCCTTTTGGTGATTGAATTTGTCCCTTTTCTTGATTTTTGTTTACTTTTCCTTTTTGGGTGTTTTTTATTGCATTCCATTACTTATCAAGTTTTGAGCTTTTTTGTAGTTGTTGTCATGGGTTTAGTGTTTTTTTTTTGGGTGGGGGGGTGGGGTAGGGGGTGTATTTGATTTGGGGTTGGATTGAATTGTATTCAAGTGTTGTGAAGTACTGATCTTTACTTAAGGGGTGTATTTGATTTGGGGTTGGATTGAGTTGTATTCAATTGTTGTGAAGTACTGATCTTTACTTGTTAAGTTTTCTTAATTTGGAGATTACTGATCTAATTTTGGTTGTTGCTACTTACTATTCACTTTTTCAATTTGCTTATCGAGTTATGTTTCTTTGTTGTAATTTATTGTTAGATTCTTGGTGGTGCTTTGTTTGGGGTTGAATTGGATTCTGTTATACAGTTGTGAAGTTTTATAAATCTGTGAATTTTAAAGATTGGATTTTTAGTAATCTGTTCTTGATTTTGGAGATTAAAGATCCGTTCTTGGTAATGCTTTTAACTGGTCTGATTTTAGAAGGCAAGTTTTTGATTAGGTTATGTTTGGGTATTTTGTGTCAATTCAGTTAGATTTGGTTGTTGTGATGATGAATCTGCAGTTATAGGGCACTGTTTTTATTTATTAATTCGACCCTTTGTCTGTGATTTGTGATGTTTAATCATCTGAGTCAGATCAATGAATTCAAATTCTTAATCATCTGAATTTGGCATGTTTGTAAAGCCTGATTTAGCAGGATTAAGCTGCTGCAAGCGGTAGTTTGAATTTCTTTTTGTTGGCTAATGTTAACTGTTTGGAAGAAGTGGTTGTATATTTTCTGTTGAATAGAATGTCTTGATAAGCTGTGTTTAACTGTTTTCACACTTCAGCATGATTTAAAATTTTCGTTTTGATCATATCTTAGCATCTCTTATAGTGTCAGATGTTTTTAATTGAGAATTACATAGTGTGCTCAGTTATGAAGTGTGAAAATGGTATTTGCCTAGAGCTTTCGGACATGGTTTGGAGAATGAATTGCTACGTTAGTGTTTAAGATTTTTATTCTTGTGGCTCTTCCTGGTGAAATCGTAATTTTCCTCGAATGAAGATAGTTACCCTGTTTAGCTTTTTCCTTTGAGACAATCTTTGGAACAATTGACTTTAGCTTGTGTCTGCAGCCTACACCTCAAGTCCTCTTGGTCCCAAAATTTCAAGGCTGTACATCCTTTGTTGCTGATTCAGGCAAACGTATAAAGGCTTAAATGTGCTTTGATACTTGCAGCATGTGGAATCTATGGTTGTGGTATCAGTTCTTTTGGTCTATATGTGTGCTAAGAGTAGTTGCTCTAAATGGGGAGAAAGAACGTGAGATGTTTTTTTTGCATTTATTCTGTAAATGGAAACTATACATAGAATTGAATTTTAAAGCTTCAAAATGAAAAACATGAAAACATCTTGTTTATAAGCCATGCAATAAAAACTATTTTTCCTTATCCAAAATGACAATGCCATGTGTCAAATCCAAACCGTTGAACTCAAAATTCCCATGCATTCTGATGTACTGTTTGGAAGAACCAGATTAGGCACTTAGTCAACAGTTTGTGCATTTACCTTGTTGCGCTTTTTCTTGAGAGTTGGGTTTCTTATAACTGATCTGGTTTCGGAACGTCCTTATGACTTCTTTCCGACCCTTGCCAAATGCTGGAGTTTGTTTCCTGGTTATTTTTGGTCTCGTGTAATTTGATCATGCATTGTCTCTTTCCAAATTAATAATTTTCCTTGTTTTTGAATCAGGCTTGAAGTAACTTTTCTGGAAAGTGAAACAAGTTTCAACCCTGGAATGATTTGATGGGGGCATCAAACTCTAAACTAGAGGACGATAAATCCTTGCAGCTTTGTCGTGAACGGAAGAAGTTTGTAAGGCAAGCTCTTGATGGACGGTGTAATCTAGCAGCGACTCATATTGCTTATATTGAGTCTCTTAAAATTACAGGAACTGTTTTAAGGAGATTTGCTGAACCTGAGGCTCCAATCGGATCTTCAATCTACACTTCAACTAGTGCAACCCCTGAGCTACGTGGATTAACTGAAAAGTCTCTTTCCCATTTTTCATTCTCTTCTCGATCCATCTCACGTCATGTAGATGCAACTGAGAATATCCTACCATCTCCTTCACCTCCAACCTCAAGTCGATACCATGCTAATCACATGAAATTTAGAGGTACATTTTCTAGGAAAGTTGAAGAAAAACCTTCTGTTCCAGTTACTGTTTCAGTTACTTCAGCTACACCTCAGAACTCCACGCCTCGTTCCACAGAGAGGCCTGAAGCATCACCTTTTGAATTCCCTCCTGAAACTTCACCATTTGAAATCCCTCCTTCCCCATCTGAAACTTCACCTTGGGACTATTTTGGTCTTGGCCATGATATTGATAATCATTTGACTTCACAAGATGGAAGGGCTGAGAATGGAAATGACAATAGACATCATGGAGATGAGGATATAATTTCTGCATCAGAAGATGAAGAAGAACATTATTCTTCACCTGGAAGGGATGGGTCACAGGTCTCGGATGATGAATTTGATGAGCCTTCCGCAGAAACACTGGTCCGAAGTTTTCAAAATGTCAATAGAACAACTGATCATGCTAACAATAGTGTCTCACCTGACATAACCTCTGTGAGGAGTGGACTGTCAGAAGCCAAGTCTCTGAATGGGGAGAAAAGCAAGTCACCTGATTTGTCCCCACTAAGAGCTGCACCTTCAGGACCTGCTGATGATAATGACATAAAGACACCAGTAAAAGAAAATGATGTTGAGAATAAGGTTGCACCCAAGGACTTCTTTTTTAGCATAAAAGATATTGAATATCTCTTCATAAAAGCATCTGAATCAGGAAGAGAAGTTCCGCGCATGTTAGAAGCGAACAAATTCCATTTCCGTCCAATTTTTCCAGGGAAAGAAAGTAGGTCATCTCTCTTTCTCTCTCATATCAGATAGAAAATGCACATAAATGCATCTTAATTGTTTCATTGTTTACACATAGTCCTTAAATTGTTTTAGCTTCTAGGTTTTTTTCTTTTTAAGTCACATGGATTCCTGCATGACATTGGCACGTCAGCTAGAAGTTCTTTCTATCTTACTTAATATGCTGCATGCTTTTCTGATTTTATGTGGTTTTTTAACTGGTTGATACATATGGGAAGAAATGGCAGTCAGCCTGAGGTTAAAGTCAGAATATTAACAGTCATGTCTATATAATCAAGTTAATGTATACTTGAGTAGGCAAGAGAGTGAAGTGAGTATTGGGAGGTGAACTGTTGCTCTCTTAACTCTTTTGCATATTAGTCTTTTCTGCATAGCTCTTTAATTGATCATTGACAGATTTATCTGTGGCAGCCGGGTCAATGACCAGAATATTAATGAAGTCTTGTTTCTCTTGCGGGGACGATCCAAGCCATATTCCTGAAGGTAGGCATCTTTATATAGAGATATCTATGGTGAAATTTTCAGATTCTACATGTTTAATAGTTGGTAGTGTTTTTCGATTCCTGTGTGATTCAAAGTGTATAATTTGTTAGACATTCTTGAGTTCTTTTCTCCCCACATCACTCTTGGGTCCAGATGTTTATAGTTTATGATACGGAGAAAGGGGAGGCAAGCACAATATGGGAAGGTTCCTTTACCTTGAGGAGTGCAGATTATTATTTAGATTCAACTTCGTTGTGAGATGATCTACAAATAAACACTGAATTAATTTTTTAAATCTTCATTTTTTCTACATACTACTCTACATTGTTTACTTTTAGTTTTTTGTTGTGGTAAAGATAAGTAGAGGAGGAAATGAGATGAACATTCTAAACTAGGAAGAAGATGCTATCATCTAAAACCATTAATTTCCAATAACATCACGCTCATAGTAAAAAGTTGGAGGAGGATTACTGTGCTATCACAGCCTTGGTCCTGGCCAAGTAGGTGGTCTGATATCCCTTTCTGTTGTCCTTTTATCTTGGGCACTTTATTGAGTGAACTTTTTCCCTCCAGTGTTCATTTGATCAGAATTCTTGCTGTCCACATTCACTATAGTCTCCTAAACCAATTTTAAGCAACCTTCTCTTCTAATCATGCTTAACTTTGTATGACCACACATCAATCATTCTCAGCATTTGCTTTTCTGTAACACTCGTCTTGTGAATGTGCCGGATGTTAGAGGCCTAACATTCACAACCATATGACATTACTGGCCTTAAAACCGTTCTATAAAACATGCCTTTCAATCATCTTATTTTATTTCTCCATGTTACACTTTCATCTATGCTGGTACATAGAGCCTAGATTTCCCTCACATCCTGTCAGCCATCTGATGAAACCATTTGCTATTTTTCATCATCTTCGACCTTCTTATGTTACCCTCCATGCGGTGAAATATGGTCCTATACATCGAGACTAAGGGATCAACTTCCTTAATACATGGTTCAGGCTTGGAGAAGAGAACATGTTAGATTTCTTTGGACATGGAGAGAATCAACTGACGTCAACCGCTAGAAGAATCTTTGAAAGCGACACAATTGGGCTATTCTGCGAAATAATAAAAAATACATTATACTTGGAAAGAGATAAACCAAAAAAGGGAAGTTGCTTCAACCACTAAATTTAGTTATTTGGTAGTATGCCATGTTCCAGTACAGTTTAAGATACAAATTCAATATTAAATGTGCACTTAGTATCTATTAATAAATTTGAGACCATGCATATATCCAAATTCACAGATCTGCACTAATCATCGTTCTTGCTTGCTGACCATTGTATGTCAAATGGAGCTTTTTAAACGTTTAATCTGATTTTGGTTCACTCGCTTTGGATACTATTATGCACGGTTGTGCTTATTTACCATGCATCATGTTTTCTTATTGTTTTCATTGTCTGTCTTTTCATTATTTTCTTCTACATGAAGCTCATCCAGCCATCTTAATTTTTCTGTTCAGAGCCTCCTCAAAATTCTGTGAAGTACCTGACATGGCATCGTACCACATCATCTCATGCTTCATCCCCAAATCGGCATGGTGTAAACTCCACAGATGGTATTGAGGATGTTTCCAACAATCTCTTTGATAACTTTTGTATGGTCTCAGGAAGTCATGCCTCTACGTTAGATCGGCTTTTTGCATGGGAGAAAAAGCTATATGACGAAGTCAAGGTAAGATGTTTCTTATGTATGTATAATAATGTATTGATATGTTTATTTGTCTAGCTATATGAATGGGATACATATTTGTGAACTAGTTAGTTATACGTACACAACCCTTGAGGCTTGCTGTTCTATGACATTCCTATGGATGAAGAATTTACCTCTTTGATGTTAGTTTCTATATTTTGTTTGCAAAAGGTATTTAGGGTTTAGGCCTAGGGTTCGTAGAGTAAGAAGATACTAGAACTTCCTTCCAAAATTCTTGACTGATCTCTTGATGTAACTGGTCAAAAGAAACAAGTTCTTTCCACATTTACATTCCTTTCGTCTGTCAAGATATTGACATAGACTTTGCAGTGACGGTCATATTTCTTTTTTGAAAACCCAAGGCATGGTCTTCTGTTGAAGTTTCATACTTGCTTTCATTATAGTCCTCTTGGAAGCACCAATTTCCTTTGTGGTATTATTATCGGAGATATATAGTGTTGTGAATTTGATATTTATCAATTAAGACACACTGAGATCCCAGACTTGAAATTCAATGCATAACATCCGATCTCAAAATGGAATCTTTCAGTTGTGTAGATTAACGATTTCCAAAGTGATTGTGGTTGAATTTATATTAAATTTTTAAGAACAGGATTTATTAAGTTGCAAGTTTATTACAGTGCATCTGCTGGTGCTTTTCTCATATCAATGGTGTTTAAGCTACTTATTATTAAATTAGTACATCCTCTCATATTTTTGAGTTTTGATGTACAACTAAATGTAAACACCTTTTGGAATTCAGGCTAGTGAGATGATCCGAAGTGATTATGATGCTAAGCGTAAGTTTCTCCGACAACTAGAATCTAAGGTAGAAACTCCTCAGAGGATTGACAAGACGCGTGCTGTTGTGAAGGATCTTCATTCGAGAATCGGAGTTGCAATTCATAGAATTAATTCCATCTCCAGGAAAATTGAAGAAATAAGAGACAAGGAACTTCAGCCTCAATTGGAGGAGTTGATTGAGGGGTATGTTATTAATGTTGCTCATTATTTCGGCATCGGAATATTGTTAGCATTAAATGTACACATATTTGAAAGATGATGTTTTAGAAGGTTAATGGCTGGAAGTTTCTTATTAATTTGTCTGTATGGCTATCCTGTTCCTATCTCAGATTGAGAAAGATGTGGGAAGTTATGTTCGACTGTCACAAGCTTCAGCTCCATATCATATCGATAGCTCATTCGCCTGGAAATATGAAGATCCTTATTCAATCAGATTCTCGTCGGCAGATTGCAATCCATCTTGAACATGAATTGAGTTCTCTATCAACAAGTTTTACAAAGTGGATGGTCTCTCAGAAGGCATACGTGGAAGCTATAGATAAGTGGCTTCACAAATCCGTCTTCCTCCGCGAAAAATCATCCAGAAGAAAAAGAAAGCAGCAGCCTGTGCCACTCAGAAACCACGGCCCTCCTATTTATACCACCTGTTCTGTCTGGTTGGAGATGTTCGATTCCTTGCCTACTAAAGAGGTTTCAGACGCTATAAAGGGGTTGGCTGCCGAAATCTCTCACCTCCTACCCCGGCAAGAGAAGCACCAAGGGAAGGGTGGAAATCATCGTCATGGAATCGATGGTGATCCAGGTCTTAAGACCCCACTGAGAGATGATTCTCCTGAAGACTGGATAGCCGGCTTCGATCGTTTTCGTACAAGCTTGGCCTTTTTCCTGAGCCAGTTAAACAACTTCTCAGAGTCTTCTGTCAAGATGTTTACTCAACTCCAAAAGGCCATCCAAGAAGCCAAACATGGTCATGCGCTCCGCATGAATTCTCAATCATAAGAAGGTATTCCGACCCTATCTTGCTCAAACTCTTCAAAAGTAGTGTTTTTTTAGAAGTATTCAACACAGGTGCGACAACATTTTGTAGAGTCCGAGCAACATAGTTCTGACAAAAAGATACTGAAGAAACAACAGTGGATATAATAGCAAAGGAAGGATTATTTATTCTGTCATTTGTACAGGAGAGGTGAAAAATAGAAGGATAAATTTCTTGGTGCTTTACATATATATTTTTGTTGAATCTTGAAAATAAAGAAGCTCTATATAGTGGCTGTATATGCAAATATTGGGAGGTGAAAAATGGGCAATAATTGAAAAGGAAAGGGGTGTAGATTTAGTCATAAAGAGAGCTGTTTATATGATGGCAAGAAAAAAATGTACCGTCAAACATGTACATTTTACTTTGATGAACTCAGTTACAATTTCATTAAATATTTTGACATTTTAATGTGGTTTTTCACCTTTGCTTTATTTATTTATTTATTATTTATTATTATGATGATGATATGATATGAGTTGAAATGACGAAATGGGGATTTATTTAGTCGATCCGAACTTTTTGTGACCAAGGTGTAGTTGTTATGAAGATATCTCAAGTGTTTTTACTCGAAGGTGATCCAGTTGTTTGGGCTTGGGACTTCTGTTTTAGAGGTCTCAAGTTCGAAATCCCTTACCAGCGAAAGCAACAGGTTTACCTTTGGATGGAGCTCGTCACATCAGACTTGCTAGTGTAGGTTACCTTTTCTATATGATTTGCGAGATATGACATAGAAGCGAAGATTTTACCTTGTGCTCACCCAAAAAGTAGTGGTGTATATATATATCTCAAAATGTTTAAGGTAACATGGTATAAGATGGGTCAATATAGGTGCAAATTGAGAAAATAAGTTTGTTTTCTTGTTTTACCTTTTAACTATTAGTTGTTTTTTTAATCAGAATTATCACTATCTATGTACTAGACGCATCTCAAAGTTGATTTAGCTAACTATCCGTTGTTAAATTTTCCAACCTAAAATAACACCATCAAATTGCGTGTATTTTAATATATAATAAAAATTTCACTTTATTATGTAAACCATTTTTACTACCAATAGAAGGAAAAGGAAAAAAATAATCCTATATATCAGTATTTACTACCAAAGCCTAACACTATATTTACAATCTTCAGAAATTATTTTTGATTTGGCCGTTAATGTATTCACCGTTATGTCACACTTAACCTTAACGGTGATTTCCCACATCTTAACGGCGCCAACTTTAACTTTAACGGGCGCTTTGATGTTAACCTTAAACGGAACTTTCCCTTTCAACTGTTCATTCCTTAACGCCGTCTTAACGGCGTTACCAAGCAAGACGTTTGATCCTTTTAACGGCGTCTGAAAAACCGTTACGTTATTCGTTGGCTGATAGAACGCCGGCAATTCGCCGTTAGAGAGGCGGACATCGGAGTAGAATACGGTGACGGAGCTACCTTTCCGGTAGTAAATTCCGATCTTATTGTTAGGATTTTCAGCTCGGACAGTAACGTCGAATTCCGGCGATACTGGAGACGACGAAGTTAAGTTGAAATTCTTAATCGCGACGTTGGATATAGTGTATTTTGGAGCTTCAGGACGGAAGACGAGGTAGAGAACGGCAGCAGTGATTCCAAGTGCGATAATGAGAATTAGAAGGAGAGAGAAAGTGTAGCAAACGCACCGGCAACAGAAGCTCCGACGAGGCTTTCGTTTTCTCAAAGCTTCGTAACGGCGAGAATTCCCCGGTGGAGGATACCGGTAGATTTGATCTTTTGGTACTTGAACAACATACGTTCCCGGCGACCGCACATGCTTTGTATTAGTTCCCGCGGCTACTTCGCCGGAGTTATTTGACGATGGCGGTGAACTCGCCGGCGATGAATCTCGAGGATGTACGCGATCAGCCATAGTGTAACAGAAAATCAGAAATGAAGGAGGCGTTTGTATAGTGAAGGTGTGATGCGTTTGTATTTATATTTATAGTAGTGCGTGTAAATATTTGAAAGAAAAAACGCGTGATTTGTAGTGTTACACGCAATATTTTGAAGGATACAACTGTAATCACTCTTAATTTTCCGTGAGTGAGGAGGAGAGTCTTGGAGTAACGGTATATAATTTGATAGTATCTACCTTTACGAGTAATTGCTCTGTCAGAATTTCGGTCATTGCAAAACAAAATCTTATGTAGAAGTTCGGGTTATGTCTCGATTTTAGTGTAGTGGATCATCTTTTAAGATCAGCTATTGATTATCGCCTTGGTAAACTATAGTCTCACAAACTACAAGCAAATGTAGGGATTAATGTGTGAGATTGCAATTATCTATTGATATAAATCACTAAAAATTGAATTATTGAATCGAATTGAAATGATTTACCGTACTGAATCAAAGTTCGTATCTAATATTCAGTTTCAACTATCGTTTATCCAAATCAAACTTTGAAAATAACGCATCAAATACCAAACACCACCCTTAATTGCGATAGACTTATGAGAACTCCTAAAAAATATACAACCTTTGTGAAGCATAAATGACCATGATCGCTAATTTATCAAAAATAACGTTTCTCTATTCTCTTTAGATCTTATTTGTAGAATCACACTGAAGATATTATTATCGTACATAATAAAAAATAATAATACAATCAAAATACTAATTAGCAAATTTTAATCTCATATTAAGAATCAATTATTTATTTTTGTGACATTAAATCACTAAGTCAATTTTTCCAATATTAATTAATTAGTGGACTATTTCTCACTTTGTGTGTTGAATTTATTACATCATTGTTGTGCAGCGGTGAACAAACGGAGTTTTGGTGAAAGGGAAATAAATTGAAGTAGTAACAGCTCATTTAAATTGAGAGGAAAATATGAATTATTCAAACAAGAAACACATGAAATAATTAATCAAGGAAAAAAATTAAACTTTAAAGTCATCCAAGGCTCCGGTAAAGTGGTAAGTATTGTGTAAATTGAAAATGAAGTCATTTTAAGTAAAAAGACATTTCATCTCAAAATAAAACTTTCGATAAATTTGATTAACTGAGCTTTAATATAAATTCCGAATATCAAATATCGTGAAAAAAATTAGTGAATAAAGGATAAAGAGAAACGTTCAAAGAGTATGCTTTCTTAAATATTGACAACTAATATTTCCTCATAAAAAAATTGTCACGTAGAGTATAAGGTAGCAAATAAAAGAAGAATCTATTAAATAAATAATATGTTGGACATGAATAAATTAATATTTTACAAGATATGTAAAGTTGAATTTAAAAATGATATTTGATCATGGAATATATTTGAAGTTTTATAAGGAAAAATTTAAAATCGATTTTTTTTAAAACCTTAATCTTCAATTTTCATATTATTTATTCAAGAGGTTGAAATGACAGACCAGATAAGGCAACAATTATTTAAAATATACTCCTTTCGCCTCATTTTATATGTCAACCCTTTCTATAAATAGTTGGACCACAATACTTGTCATTTTATAAAATTTATGCATAAATTACCATATTTTTCCTATTATACCCTTGATAGAATAGTTAATTAATCTTGTCATTTATTAATAAAGTTGACTTAAGAAAACATTAAATAAGGGTAGAAGGGTAAAGCTATATCATTTCTTAATGCAAGTGCAAAGTAAAAAGGTGACGTATAAAATGGGACGGAGGGAGTATAAGTTATATATATCGACAATAATAATATTATGATTTTTTTGTATTCAATATATATAGTTTAATCTATATAACATTTTATTTTAGGTTAGTAATTAATATTACTAAATAGAATTAATTATTCGCAATAATCTTTGAGTGACCTAATTGTACAAATGTTCTTTACATCATCGATATAAAACATAAACTCATATGTGAATAATTACTGCTAAAACATTAGCACTAACACACGATGATGAGTTTAATAGAACGGATAACAATTATACTACAACTACGATTCAAGTTTTAAGAGAAATATAAGTCTTGATGCATAAACATATCTGATATCTATCTTGATGAAAAGTAATCATATGGATGATGAAATAATTGATTTGCGATAAACTGATTAGAACATTATCTTTATATTTTTTTTTAAATATGAAAAAGAAAAAAGGAAAGTACTAACACATTAATTTCCCAAAAAGAAATGCACAATGGAAATTTTTACTTTTTCCAATTGTACTTTAAAAAAAAAACTACTTTTCCCAATTTGAAAAATCTTCTTATATTTGTCCATCAATAGTACATCATGACTTTTTCTTCTGTCTTGATCTCATGATCAAGCAAAAAGCTATTGCTATTACAAGTAACATGATTAGTGCTAATTAGATCCTTAATCTCCTCCAAGCTACTATAATCTAATGGATTTTCTTGCTCATCAACATGACAACCACTACCATTATTTCCACTAATCAACTTTTCTCCTTCACTAATAACACCATTGTTATTATACATATAGCTATGAAAATTAAAATTCGAAATGTCACAACTCTCTGCAGAAGAGGTAGTAGGACCCGTGAATGTACTAGCGGTTATGCCTGAGGTACAACTAGTCGATGCACCCGCGCTTAAGAAACTTGTACTTGATGGGATTGTACTAGGAATATTGGTTTCATAGCTTGGGAAAGTTGTGTTGTTGGGATAATTTGATGAGATTAATAAAGATGAGGCTTGAAGAAGTGAAATTTGTGAGGAATAATTGTTGTAACAATTAGTGGGAATTTGGTGTTGATAATGATGATGATTAAGAGGCCTAATGATCTTGTGAGATGAAGAGTCAAATCCCATTAGTTTCTTCTTGAGCTTTGTGTTCCAATAGTTTTTGATATCATTATCTGTCCTGCCTGGTAATTGAGCTGCTATTATTGACCACCTGCATATGTTTTTTACATATCGAGATTAGTTTAATTAATTTTCATGACCAAAAACATGAAAGTTACTAGTACTAATTAATTTGACTTTAATTCTTGAAAGTAATACTCATGCATGCAAAGTATATATTTCTAGGATCATACTAGTTGTTAGAAGCAGAGACTAATTCAAGATTTGAATCATTTCGAGTTTAATTTGAAATTTTATCACATCCCATTTAGGTACGAAGCTAGAAGGAGGAAATTAAAGTGGTTCACTCGAACTATCTATAACTTGTTCTCAACATCCCCCTACTTAGAAGTTAATCCATGATTCAAAGTTAATGTGTTTGAATTTTAAAATTCTTAGCAGCGAACTCATCGTACTTTTGAAATTATCTGATCTAAATTTAATAATGATTGAAATTTTAGTAGAAAAAATATGTATATACCTGCTTCCAATGTTAGCATAAAGGCTGCAAATGATTCTGTCTTCTTCGTCTGAAAACTCTCCGTGTTTAATATTTGGCCTAAGATAATTTAGCCATCTTAATCTGCAGCTTTTTCCACATCTTCTTAGC